CTGCACGGTACTTGTACGAGATGACGCAGCTCATGGGAGCGCACACAGCCACGGCGTACTCGACGTTGTCCGTCGGCTGTGGCCGTGAGGTAAAGTACGGCCACTCGCGGCGAAGCTCCTCGTCTTTTGCGGCGCGCGACTCCTCCACGGAGCCAACGACGTCGCGTGGTCGCGACTGCCGTTGAGCTTTCCTGTTCTCCTCCCCCTCTTCCTCCTCCCCGTCTCCTTCGTCTGCTTGCTCCCCTTTACTACCTGCCGAGTTGCTGCAGGAGCGGGAAGCAGATGCACGATGGTGCTTCGTCGCCCCCGCCTTGTCCTCCTCGCCGAATTCAGACGCCTCCTCCTCCTCGTCCCTCATGTGGTCGGCATTTTCGTGGTGGGCGGGTGCTACCGGCGGCACGGACTCCTGCTGCTTCGCCGCCTCCCGCTGAAGCGCCAGCTGCTCCAGCTGCACCTTCGACAGTTGATTACCGTTAAGAAGAGCGCCGTACAGGCGGTCCTCCTCGTCCTGATCTTTATACTTCTCCTGAATTTTCTTCAGCTTCTTCCGCTGGTGCTTCGTCAGCTGCTGCATGCCCTTCTGCGAGGGAGGGGCGGCCGCGACCTTGGCGCCGCCGCCGCCTCGCTCGGCCCCCGTCGGAAGCCGTCATGCCCATCTGGGACGCTTTCGCCGCGGCTGTGCCGAGACCCTGGGGCTGCTGCTGCCGCTGCGGCGGAGGAGGAGGAGGACGGCGAGGCCCACGCAACTCCCCAATAGACGGCAGCGGGTGAAGTGCGGCGGCGCCATCGGGTGGGAGAAAGGCCCCATTCTCGCCGTCCTCCTCATGCTGCAGGCGGCGTTCCCCCTCGGCGATGAAGTTTGGCAGCTCGTCATGGTCGGTGGGGTCAATGCGGCGCGCGGTGACGCGGAACAGCAGCCCGCACGCAAAGGTGAGCGGCTGCGGCCGCAGGTAGTGCTTTTCCCCGTCGTAGAGGTAGCAGCCGCTGGCTGTGCCCCCAGTGATCTGGGACGCGTGCACCCACCATGCAGCGACGGTGAATTTGCCCTCCCACGCGGAGCTGCGGCTCACGCACCACGCGCCGGCCTCATCGAGGCTTGTCATGTGGATTCGGCACGCCTTCGCCTGAGGGGCCGGGGGGGACTCGCCTGCGGCCGCCACAAAGGCGGTGGTCCAGGCGGAGCCAACCGGCCGAAGCAGGCACGGGAGGGCGCCATCCACGTCGGAGTGCACAAAGACATCGCCCAGCTGCATGACGCGGCGTACGAGGATCTCCGTCGTCTGCGTGTCCTTCCCCTGCAGGACGAGGTCGCCGGCGGAGGTGCGAAACCAGGCGAACTTTTCCCACCAGAAGCGGTGGCGCTCCTTCACGATGGCCTTCTTCGTCTTCTGCTTGGCCGCCAGACGCTCACCCTTCTTCTCGGCCCCTGCCAATGCCTTGGCGGTGGCGGCGACGGTTTTCTCGTACTTGGCCCGGTTGGACTTCTTCTTTGCAAAGTACGCCGCCGCGTTGGCGTACGCCGTCTTGCTGAGCTCCACCTCGATGACGAGCGGCGCCACGTCGCAGTCCTCCGCGTCCTCGTCGTCGTCCGGCTCGTTGGCCTCCACCAGCACCGAGATGCTGTTGCGCTCAAGGAAGAGCTCGTGCACCATGTACGCCACGGGGTGCCCCTCCGCGTGTCGCCGCTTCAGCAGACCGCGCAGCGCATCCCACTGAATTCCCGCGGCGAGAGCGCCGTTGATGAGCCCAATCGCCTCGTCAATCTTCTCCGCGTTTTGGATGATGCACTCCCCCTTGCGCTGGTTCGCCAGCTCCTCCGCCTCGAGGGCGCCCAGGCGGCGCTGGTGGTCACGCTCAAACTTGCTGCGCTTGGAAAGCACGGAGGTCGTCTTCTTCTCGTTGTGCTGCTCGATCCTCTCTGTCTCGGTGCAGAGAAAGAAGGCGTCGCAGACAGCGCCGAAGCTCTTGAGAAACGACGTCGCAACGCGGTCACCGCCGTACTGGGCAAGGAGCACAGGACCGAAGTCATCGTAGTGCACGGCCTGCAGCTGCTGCGGCCCCTCGCCCACGCCGGCGACAGCTGTCGTTTCCTGCGTATTCTCCTCGCCAGGCCTCGCTGCAGCGGCGGCCGCGGCGGCGGCGCGGCCTTTGCTCTGCTTCTGGTACGCAATCAAGTACCCGCCACCGGGCAGAGGAGAAAAGGCGATCTCCCACGCCTGCAGCATCCCAGGCAGCAGCAGCGCAAACAGCGTCTCCGCGTCGGAGTTCAGCTCTCCCTTCTTTGCATTCCTGACCCCGGTGACGGTTAGGATGTGGTCGGCAAGGGCGGGGCCAAAGTGGTGCACCGCGGAGAGCGTCGAGCGCAGCGTCTCGTAGTCGGCGTGTCGGGCAAAAACGGTGTGCCACTCCTGCCGCAGCGCCTCCGTGCGGCGCCGCCGCTGCTCCTCCGCCGCTGCAGGCACCGCCGTGGACTCCGTCCGCTGCTGCTCCTCAAAGGGCCGCGTCACGGGGTACAACTCCCGCACGAACATCTTGATGTCGTCGTCCCTGTGGGTGCGGAGCAGGAGGAGGATGCGGTGCTCGTTGTCGGTCAGCACCACGTTGCCCTTCGAAAAGAGCTCGACGATGATGTGGTAGGAGGCGCCCTCGCCCGCCCCGAAGCGAAAGTCCACCGTCCGGTCGTGCTGCAGCTGCGTGACGGAGTCGAGGCGCCAGGCCCGCACGTGTTTGCGGAGCTTCAGCGTGAACTGCGAGGGCACCTTTGGCTTCTCCCGCACAAGCTGCGTGAGGTGCAACCGCACCCCGCTTTCGAGCAGCAGCATCTTTTTGTTCTCGCCCTGGCCGAACTTGAAGAGAAACATCTTTGGGGAAATGTCATAGACGTTCAGCAGGCGCAGGCCGCGCAGCTCCGCGCGCATCTCCTCCACGGAGGCCCGCACGTCCAGCGCCGTCATGCGCTGCTTCACCATTTCGCACCCTCCTCCTCCTCCTCCTGCTTCCCCCGCAGCTGTTGCGATGCTTCTTCTTCTTTTGTCCTTTTATTTTTTCTTCTTTGTTTGTCCTCTACCTAAACCCGCGGCACTGCGCGCGCGTGCGTGTTGGTTGCTTTACCCCCCAGAAAGAGTCCGACAGGCACTGCGGCCGCTGCGCGGTGATGCTCTGGCCGCCCGCCGAGCAGCGAAGCAGGAGGAGGCGGGGAAGAGAGAAGAGAAAAGAAAAGAAAAAATACAAGAGAGAGGGAGCTTGGGCGGGCCGCGGCCCCACCCGCACGCGACGAACGCGGCAGAAGACACACTTGGCAGCTGCCGTGGCTGCCGACAGGACGACCCACACACACACACACGCACACACACACACACTCTCATGCACAAAGAAAGAGAGAAGGAGAGAAAGAGAGAGAAAGAGAAAAGCCGCAGCACCCCACCGGCAGTCCCACTTCCTCTCTCCCCCTCCCTCAGAGCAAAGCAGGCTACACG